TCAGGATGAATCTGAGTCATTTATAGGAAAATGGGCAGCTCTGGAGATCATAATACTAAGTGAAATAAGTCAGACACAAATATTGTGTGGTTTCTCCTATATGAGAAAGTCAATTACCAACAAAGGAAGAGTAAAGGAAAGGCATAGTTTTGGAGTAGACAGAGTGGGTCAGGAGAGTGAAGAAAGGGTATGTTGGGGAAAAAGAGGGTTGAAAGTGATCAAGACATGTTATACATGTAGCATTTCCCCCAAATTAATGTCAGTATCATGTACTGCAAACCTATGCCCACAAAAAAGAAAAATCACAAATTCAAAACATTAAAAAAAATTTTTTTTTTGTACTGGAAATTGAACCTAGGGCCTTTGTGCTAAGCTACATCCTCAGAACTTTCAATTTGTTAGAGGCAGAGTCTCTGTTAAGTTGCTAAACTGCCCCGCTTGAATGTGTGAGCTTGAATTTGTGATCCTCCTGCCTCAGCTCCCCAGAGTGCTGAGATTACCGGCATGCACCACGACACCTGGCTTGGCTTAACTTTCTTTAGCTTTGACTCTTGTATCTAAATTTTATTTCCTTCTATGCATTCTTTAATATTTTGACTATCTTTCCTAAATTCAGCTCCTAAACTGAACACACATTAAAACAGCTGTCCAAGCAAAAATACAGAAAATGGCAACGTTCCAGATCTTGCATTTCATGATCCATTTACAATCTGAGGGTCTCCTTGGATCTTAAACTGCAAGATTAGACACTTGGCTCCTAGTCAAACTGTGTTCCACTGAGCCACCAGGTTTTCTCCCACCTGCCTAGAGAAAAAGCTCCATTTGCTCTACTTGGATTCCAGGATTGATAAATTGTTCTTACTTTTTCACATCACATTTTCTTCTGCTTTTGTTCCCTCAATGCCTATTTTTTTTTTCCTCTCCGGGGAAGTTCTTACTTCTTAAAACAAATTCCATGTTATTTTTCATTGTATTATTTAAAATTTAGCATCCAACAATTAAAAACAAAAATATCTCAGTATCATGGCTTCCAAAATTGAAACTGCTCCAGCTGTAATTCAGTTTAGAGCTTGTCTGGAAATCACCTGAGACCAATTATTGTGGCTTCTGAATCACGTGACCTGTGTCCTAAGTACATTTTGATAAACACTGGGTAGACAGAAAAAAGGCAAATCTCATTTCTTAAAATTATGGCTGGATAAACTTTATAAGAACAATTGTATTGGCTAGTTCTAAAACTGAGCAAGTCTGTACTGTGTCCATTTAGCTAAGCAGAAATATTTTCCCAGAATCCCTTTCTCTGTACAGTTCTGAACCAGGCCTTTCAACAGGAGCATTTTGCATAGGGCCGACAAAAGCAAAAGCTATCCCTGCATGCTGGAAGTCAATGCAAGACCAAAAAGTGTGCCTGCTCTGACACATTGCAGGTGACCTGAGGACCAGGGCTTCTCTCACTCCAGGCAGTGCGCTCCTTCAGCATTTTCAGATCCTCAACTGGCTACATCTGAAAGGTATGGGCATATTCTGCAGGCCACCTCTCTGACTGAGGTTAGTAACTATGAAAGACAGGTTCCAGGTTGAACTCATGGATTCTGATCTATCACATCGAATTCTAGTTTTTCCTTAAGAATTCAATTTTATCCTCTTGTGTCTACTTCATCCTTGCCTTCCCCACATTATGCCCATCTTTCCTTCCCAACTTAGTAGCAAGGACAGAAGCAGAGTGGCTGTAATCTATTCTGGGAAGTCGCATCTATTTATTTTTGTTATATTCTCTTTGTTGGAAGAAAGTTACTGGGTTCTGCCTATACTCAAGAAGAAGACATTATAAAGGGTATGACTACCATAGACAGGTAGTCTATGCTACTTTGATGCTCTCTCTCCCCTTTCAAACAGGCCTTTGAAGCCCCTTTAAGCACGTGCTGTGCAGAACCTCTCTGAAGACTAGACCTGCTAGCCTATAATCCCAGCACTTTGGAGGCTGAGGCAGGAGGACTGCAAGTTGAAGCCCAGCCTGAGAAACTCAGTGACTTAGTGAGACCCTCCCTGTCTCAAAATAAAAAATAAAGGGGCTGGAAATGTAGCTCTGTGCAAAGAATACTGGGCTCTATCCCCAGTACTAAAGAAAAGACTAGAACTTCTAAGAATATTAGGAAAATTTTCTCTCAGCATCTTTATAGAAAAGATTGCAACAGTGGCTTACAATTAATGGAGTAGATTATGAATTCATACATGTGAAACCCACGAAGCGTTTAAAGAAAATTATCAGCTTTGAATAAAGACACAAAGGCAAGCTGAAAAGAAGCATTACCACCATCAAATTTTTATGGGAAAGAAAGTCGCTAAGAAATCAACTTAGTTGCAAATACTGGCTGTATCTTCTGGAAAAGGAAGGGTGGCTCAGAATGACCAAAGCTGCAAACGGTGAAGCCAAGAGCTCTGAATACCTCACAGGGACCAGCACCAAGCACTATGCAGAGGACGGTTAACATCTCAGACCAAATGTCAGAGTTACTACAGACTGGTGGCTTCTTTCTTGATGCCTTCTGTTTGTCCTTCTTCTAATGCAAGTATCTGTTGTAGATATCCTTCATGCATTTCACCATTCAATGTTTCAAGTGCTTATTTACTTACTTCACAGGCTTTCAGTCCTACGAGAATAAACCCAGGAGCACGCTTCACACCTAAATTGGATTTAATGACAAAATCATGGATTTTAAGCCTGAGCCTGATGATATGTTTAGAGAGGCTCTGAGAGGGAAATAATTTGCTTTGTAGATAATATTAATATGAGATCAGAATGTGGATTATGGTAGTTTTAAAACTTGCTTGCAAATTCTTTGAAACCCTCTTTACTAACGAGTTACACCTATGTCCCTCTCTCCGTTCCGGGTGGGCTTCTGTTTCCACCAACAGAGTATGGAAGAAGTTACGTGACTTCAAAGGGTAATTCATCAGGATAGTGTTCCTGTCTTTGCCGATAGACATACTCACTCTTGGGGCCCTATGCTGCCATGAAAGAAGTCTATTTTAAGGATGCCATTATGTGTGAAATCAAAGCCATGGAGCGTACATGTGTGGGAAGCCTGATCCACAGTCCTAGTAGTCTTTTGAGTTGTCTCAGATCAGGCACCAAACACATGAGTTGTCACCATTAATTATGATATATCAGTGCGACTGGGTTAAGAGACACCTTGCAGAGTGATTAGGCACACTTCTGGGTGGAGGCCATGGAGGTGCGATTTTGGTGCTATTATGTATGGTCCCTGGCACCTTCCATTCTGGCACTGTGCCCCTGCTCTGCTTCCCAGCCACTATGAATTAAGCAGCTTTGCTCCCCTATGCTCTTCTGCCATGATGCTCTTCCACCATGATGCTCCTCCTTGGATCCAGTTAACCATGGACTGCATTCCCTGAGCCAAACAAAACTATCCTTCTTTAAGCTGCAGGTGTCAGACACTATGTTTCAGCAATGAGAAAGCTGATTAATACAGGAACCAACAAGGCTCTGGGCCGTTCTAGGTCCCAGACATGGGTCACTGCCACTCTTTAAGTCTTTCCACCCGATGCCTCCGATATTGTGGCATAGACACACAGTATCTCGGCCATGTACTGAGTTCTTGACTCACAGTGTCTAGGAAAATAAAAAATGGTTATTCTAAGTAATCAAATTTGGTGGGTAATTTATTTACAGTCACTGTAACTGAGACTAAGTCAGACAAAAAATGTAACAGTTAAATTGTGAGAGGCATATTTAGGACCAATACTTAGCTTTGGGTTAATTTAGAATGTTTATATGAATGAGATCATGAATGCAAATGCTCCTGGTGACTGACAATGGAAAAAATTATTATTATGCCAAAAGAAATGCATGTGCATATATCTTTTCCAATAATTATTATCAATAATTTATTATTATGAATATTCTGGCCCACTGTTTCAAGACTTTATATATTTAAAGTGCAAATGCAGAAACAAGTGTTTTATTCTTCAAAATCATGCAAATCTGGGCAGAGCTAGAATTCAAACACAGATCATTTTTTACTATTAAGCTCTCACTTATGTTCTCTTCCCTCCAGACATGTTAATATTTTGAAAAAATATTAAAAGACTATAATTACAAAAAGTTGTCCTGAACCGGTAGAAGCTCAAGAACAAAAAATTAATCTTCCACATTAGAAAAGAAAGGTTAACAATGATTAGGAATATGATGAATTTATACAGATGGGGATAATTTTATTTATTTCCCTGTGTGTGTTCAATTTATAAAAATTAAAATTTAGGGTAGCTTAATAATGCATTTCACTTTGCTGAGGATTAATGCTTCATTTTATACACTGAAGTTTGATCAACTATCTATCTTGTAGATTGCAGACAAAGAAAGGACAGATACTAGATTTAAGTAATACAACTATGCACACAGACACCACTAATACATAAGGCTCAGTACTAAATGGTCAGTAAGGCTTGTTTAATTTTGACAGAAATAGTAACAGCAGCTCCCACCTATGCAGCATCGATTAGCTCACAGACACTAGACAAAAGACTCTCCGCACATGTTTTTAAATAATGGTCAAAGCAAGCTTTTAAAGTATTACTGTGCCTTTTCCCACAAGTGAGATAGCTGGTACTCCAAAAAGTAAATCATTTTCCCAAAGTCACCCCATTAGGAAACAGTGGACTTGGGATTATACGATGAGTTAAGCATTTGTATTTTATCTTTAGAAGATCCTCTTAAGGAAACAATAAAATCACATGTGGAGATTACACATGATGTGGCCAATCACAGACACAGTAGATCTGTAGTATTCTAAGTTGGTTTTCATCTTTATATACGTAGGGTTTTAAAAATTATAACTATTGATCTCCTATGAGAATATCATTGCTATTACATCTGTACAGTTCTAATATCCATCCAATACATAAATTTCTTACCTGTAAATGCTGGTAATGTTAAAATATATACATGGAAAACATACAGTACATACAAACAAAATGAAAATAAAAATATTTTATAAAGTTTAGAAATTCTTTAAGCAGGTTATGACAATCCTATTAAAAATGGTTCTTCTATGTACAAAACTTAATCTTTAAAAAATACTACTCCAGGAAACAAAATCTCTTTGGTTCAGCAAAAGGACTCTGAATGTGGAAACTCATTTATGAAGGATGTGCTCTCTTGAGTTAAGCCTCACTTGTCTGGTTCAAGTCTTCAGGAAGCAGAGAGCTGACTCTCCAAATGGCGAAAATGTGTGTGGAGGAGTAGATGTTGCTTTTCGATCAACTATTATCATATAAAAATATAACCATAAATTTGAATAATGCTAGAATTTTAGATTTTTTTAATGTCAGATTTAAAGATACAGAGAAAGCTCTGCTTCCCATCTATTTTGAAAGGAGGTCACTCTCCTGAGTGACCATGGCCAACACATGAAAACATTGACCTGTCAGGTTCTTCAGTATTCCAACACTATGGAAAAGTATTCTAGTCACTCTGTGGAAGATTGCCAGGAGGAGGCCAGACGCCAGGTGCATGTCGAAAATCTTACCACTTCTCCAATGGCACGTGTTAAAATTATAAACATATCCATGATTCAGCTGTCTTTAAAATGAGCCATTAATTCTACAGTGAGTACAGCAGATAGACATTTGCCAATGGGCTATACATTAAAAATTGATGAGGGTCATTCTGTACTTTTTTGGGGGGCAACAATAAAAATTAGCTAAAATTATTTCAGAGTTTCAGAGTCCACATACTTGATAGATTTTATTCTCCTTATCATTAAAGGGAAGGAAGAGTCTTCAAAATTTTTTCCCAATCTTGTCTACTTTCTTAGAGAAACATTTTAGTTCCTAAGATAAATTCTTCTCAAGTCCCACACTTTAACCACACATTATACCCACTTTTAACAAGGCTTATGAAAAAATTTCTGAGGTATCACAGCAATTACAGGAGAAAGAAAGATTGTTTTTCATTTATTTTTTATAAGGTCCCCATTAGAATATAATTACCTGGTTGGATTAATTGGTTCATTTGTTTTAGGAAGAAGTGTCACTCTGTAATATTCAAACCTGCCTTTCCTCAGACTAATATCAGAAGTATTTTAGTATGTTTCTAGGTTAAAAGCAGATGAGAGTCAAGAGCTTCTAAGAATTACAAAGCTTTCTGCAAACCACCATGTTATGATGACACGGTGTGTACATGGAATTGGTGAGCGCTGGGAAAATGTTCCAAAATTCACTCTATTCCTTCACTTTGTACGATTTACTTGCTCAGAAACCAAGACACTTGTTAAACCTTGTTAGGATTCAAAAGAAAATACTATGATTGGGAAGGAAAAATAGGTTTCAGTAAAACAAAAAAACACTATGCTGCTTCAACAAAAACGGTTCTGATGGTGGAAAGAAGGGGTTATCCTTTCATATTTGAGACAAGCATGGAATGGAATACATGAATAATTCATAGCATCCAAAAGAGACATAATTCAGAACCACATCCATACCACTCTCCTCCATCTCTTGTGCAGAGATTTCTTTTTGCTAACGGTCTTCCAAAAGATATTACAATACTCTGAAGACAGAAAAAAACCAGGGTTGGATTATTGATCCTTATCGTCTTCCGTGGTGTCTCAGCAGAAAGCATCGTTTCTTCCATCAGAAGTCTTTATCCCAGCCTGACAGCTCATCCGGAGGCACTCCCTTTTCGGGAGGATACTTGTCAAAGTAGCTGTGATCTATGGGTCCACTGAGCTAATTCAGAGAGGATTAAAACAAAGCTGAGGTTGCTGTTGACTAAGCAGGCTACTGCACCTGGACAATACTTTTTCTAGCTAAACACCAGTTTCCTACTCTTAACTACTTATGCATACATACAAGGAAAAGATGTCAAATGTTACTGAGTCAGCCTCCATGTCCATGAGCTTCTCTTTACAACCCAGTGACCTGGTCAGCGGATTACACTCAGTGAGAGGTACCTGGCATGAGGGGCTACTGCCTGAAGAAAAGGTAACAGAAAGGATTATCTATTTTTTAATTGAAGCAAAAATCTTTTAAAACAAATATTTAAAAAATCAAAATTTGTCAGAGGCTGTCTTTCCATTTTGTAAAAGTGTCTCACCAATTTCAAATTTTAAAGTGGCTAATTTAGTGCTGTAAAATATTCTGATTGCCAAAAGAAGAGGCCAACTCAAAATGTTACTGATCATTCTGAAAGAATGAAACAACTCTGGTACTGAATTACTTTGCAAATCAGGGAGTTTCCAATGCTTTGCTTTCAAGCATAATTACATAGTACCAAATTGAATGCTCAGGTGAAAAAAATCATTAAAAATCCATTTTATGATATATGACAGTGTGCACACTGGGAGGATGGGGAGCCATTACTTGGCAGTTCAGGCGACTCAGTCACCGATGACCACAGGCGGGGTCTCCCACGAACCCCAGAGGGAGCTCTGGACACAGCCAAGCATCGGCTGACTCGGGGAGAATGACTCAGAAAGTGCCCCGGTCATCACTCCACCAACTTTATGAGGTTGTTGTCTCTGAAGGAACTGTGGAGACCTCTCTCTTGGCACATTTGTAGCTTGAAGTTTTCACTGAAGTTTAAATAGTTATGGAGAATTCTACTGTGGTGCAAACATTGACATTTTAAAATAAAATACTGTTACTTTACCCCTTTAAGTATATCTACTGTAATCTAAATACCATTGAGATTTGATTCCCATCAATCTTTTAAAAAATAGAAACATTGCATCATTCCTTTTTTCCCTCCATTTCCACCCCATTTTCCCAATAAATTCATCTTGATGTAAAATAGTTTTATGCTTGACAAGCCTTTTTGATCCTTCTTTAAGTGCATTAAATTTTAGTTTTTAGAATTCTTTTTTAGCATATGTGACAATCATTTCTGATAATACAAACGTTTGCTCGATTCATTTATAATTAATTTTAATAGCATACAGTGTCAGGTGGCACAAAGATATTACAGATTTCTAAAAGTAATTAATAAACGATACTTCATTTGTCAGGTTGGCCAACACTGACTACCTTGGGATTTAGGTGGCACTGGTAGGAGATTAGTTCCAGAGAGTGAGCCATAGATCACCAAAGAGGCAACACTATTTGGTCCCTAAAATCACAATTACTATGAAATTTTCACTTAATTTTTTGAAGTCCTATTTTTAAAACCACATAAAATCTGCTATGCACACATGCACGCACACACTTGTGCACACACACACACAAGTACACTGTTACAGCTTGTATTTAGCTGTCCCCTCAAAGCCTCATGGGGTCATACGTGGAGCTTTTTGGAGGTGACTGACTAGGGTGTCTGATGCTGCGATCAAGGATGAGATGATGGAATTGACTCACAGGGTGATGCTAGGTTTAAGGGTGTGACTGCTACCCTACCCGCCTTAAGGATGGGTAGCCTGGATAAGATAAAAGGGACAGATGAAGGGTCCTTGCTTGCTTCTGGTCCCTGGTAGCTTACTGCTTTTGTTGTCTTTTGTCTGCAATGAACTGTTTTTCCTTTGTGATGCCCCTCTGCCACATCACCCTGTCTTGGAGCCAGTTGATCATGGACCGAAACCTCTACAAATTGTGAGCTAAATAAACTTTTCCTCCCCTAACTTGTGGGTGCTGGGCATTTTGTCTCAGCAGTGAGGAAAGTAACTAAGAAACACACGTACACTCACCCTTACAACTGGCTTATGAAACAAATCCCCAAAACAAAGGAAGAAGTTATTACAGTGAATACCATAAATACCATACCTCTCTTCGTAAAGGTGAGAGGAGATTCCGTGCTTTCAGTCCCTCCCAATTGAAGCCGTTTAACCACCTGAAAAATAAGAATAATACAATGGAATATAACTTATCTAATAAACTATTAGCATGCCAAGGTGTCTGTCAGTCTGTTTTGTTGCCTAATTCCTGCCTGCAATAGCAGAGCCAGAAATGTTACCATGCTGGGTGTCTGGGCTCACGTTAAATCCATGCCAACTAAGTTTAGGTGGGTACTTAATGCCCACTACCCACTAACTATCCTAGATTTCGCTGTCATAACTTCACAATTCATACTTTGTTCTCTTTCCAAACTTCCAGAACCTTCTTCCAATCTTCCTGTCTGTTTCTTATTTAACTGAGAAAACTGAAGCAAAAACAAAAAAATTTCCATCATCTCCCATCAGCATATCTGCCCACCTACTCTTATCTGTGACACCTTCTCTCTTGCACCATGAATTAAAATAAAGTGCCTTTGCTTCTAAGTCAGCTCCGCTATTGTATACTTGATCTAATCACCTTCTCTCTATCAGACATTCCTTCAATTCTTCTCTCTTCTGTATCTTCTTCCCTGCTAGATCATTCTCGTCAGTGGAAAACATTTTTTCTACAACCAAGCACCTTCCTTTAACCTGTGTTGCCCTCCAATTCCCAGTCTACTTATCTCCTTCCATTGGAGGAAACTCCTTGAAAGAGTTAATCACTTTATCTACCCTTTGTCTCCAGAACTGTCATCTACTTCTTTTCCTTTCTAGAACGTACTATTGTCCAGACTCTCTTATCTTTTTGAGTCTTTCCCTCATCTTGCAAAGTTGGTGTATGCCAGGATTCACTGGAGTTTTACTCTTTTCAACTATTCTCTCTCTCTTTTTTTCTTTTTTTTTTCGGTACCAGATATAGTACTCTGGCTTGTGCTTGCGATGCAGGCAGTGGCACCACTGAGCTAAATCCCCGGCCGCTTTTCAACTATTCTTGCTTCATAGGTAGCCTATTTAGTCTCCTGGCATTTATCTATTGATTATCCCCAAACTTCTGCTTCCAACCAATACTTCACCTCTGTATTGGATTAACAAGATGCTATTTACAATTACTATTCATTACCTCCAATCTGAATCTCTGACAGGCAACTAGCACATATTAAGTCCAAATTGTAGCTCCAAATTTTCCCTACCAAACTTGCCTCAAACCTTCTAGTTGCTCAAAACAACACTGTAGTTATTCTTTCTCTCACATTCTTGGTTCACATTGCTCTTCCAACGAGCTAGGGATGCTCCTGCCTTAAGACTGTACTATTCTTTTTCCAGATTTCCACACTCCTTCGACAGTTTCAGATCTTTCTTCATAGGTCATCTTAATGAAGCATTCTTTGGCCATGCAGTCTAAAACTGCAACTCCTCTTACACTTATTTTCCCTCTCTTGTTTTATTTTTCCTTCTTATCATTTATTGCTATCGGACAAACTACTTAGGTTATCTTCTCCACTAGGACACAAACTCTATGCAGGCGATTGTTTCATTTATTTCTTTTATTTTTCTAAACCTCACAATGGAGTCAGTGCTTGATGCAATCTAGCATCTCAGTAATGTTTGTTGAATGACTGAGTAACTCTACAACAGAATACCCTTACACATGAACTCCTACATCACACTGTCCTAACAGCACACTGTTATGAGAGCGATGGTTCTGGTGATATGGATCTCAGAAGTTCCAATATAACCAAGTGGTTCACAGTGAAATTATGAGAGGTTGATGGTTAGATGAAGTCTTTTTCATTTATTCCTTCTGTATTGCCAATCTAGAAGGGCTACTCTTGACTTCTATCTCTCTCTCTCTCTCTCTCTCTCTA